TATGTCTCAATTTTTATTATTCTTTTAAATGATTCATACTTAAATAAAAGTAATATCTATACATTCTTTATATAAAGATAAATGCAAATTTTCTTGCGGAACAATTTGCGCTAAATACAGCTTTGGCTAAAAGTATTATATATCTCGTTGATCATTATTTAATTTTTCAACTAAAAAATTAATTTACGATACTACTATGTTTACGACATTACTGCTGCAAATTATTCTGTTTGAAAAATTGTTTAAACTTTCATATAATGCCGATTATAGTTCGGTAAAATAACTGTTACGACTTATTTAAAATAAAAAATATACAATAAATTCCAGAAACTCATTTTTAAAATATAAAATCGTAAAATACTACGACTTGTTTAAAATAAAAAATATAAAATAGATTCGGGAAATTTATTTAAAACACTAAATAAGAAATAAGTTAGAAGTGTACAATTATTTAAAATATTAAATACTAAATAACTCTTTTAAGTTTATATTTGAAATATATACTTTAAATAATTCTATTTAAAGCCTTAGTACACGCCTTAATTTTAGGCAACTTTACTACACACGGGTCATTCGTGTTCTGGATTAATATTCGTTACTTTTACAAATATATAAAAATCATTAAACAATTTTTATGTATATTTTGAGATTATAAATATTTATTTATTAATTACTATTATTTATTATTTATTTAGTAAGATCGCGATTAGAATTAGTATTAAAACAGACTTTCAATGTTTAAAATAGTAATTTTTAATGAATTTCTGGAATTTATTGTATATTTTTTATTTTAAATAAGTCGTCACAGTTATTTTACCGAACTATGATCGACATTACACGTAAGTTTAAAAAATTTTTTAAACAGAATTACTTGCAGCAATAGTAGTGTCATAAATTAATTTTTTAGTTAAAAAATTAAATAATGATCAACAAGATATTTAATACTTTTAGCTAAAGCTGCATTTAGCGCGAACAATTACTAATTATACAAGAATCGCGCAAATAATATAGGATTGAACAAGTGCTAGAGGCCACAAAGCAAAGCATGAAATGTATGACGATACCCGTTTGTCAAAATCATATAAAATACGAATAATTGAATATTTTTCATACGTAATAGTTGAATATCTAAACGGCTCCCGGTGAAAAGCGAGGGGGAGCGTGCCGCGCAGCGTGGTGGTTGATTACGTCATGACTTCCCTCGGCGGAACACATATGTGCCACATGTTGCACATCTGTTTCACATTACTACGCGAAAAATGACGCGCCGCTCCGTGCTACCCCGTGCCATCCCCACCCCAAGATCGCGCGCCGATCAAATTAGTCCAACTGTCTAAATATTAACGTTAACATATATTACAAATTCAGTAAAATTAATTTTTAGAAACGAATATCACATCTGCAATTCGTTATCATTGCGAAATAAAAAACAGATAAAAAACTGAATCTTATTTATACATAGATGATATGATTAGAGTCTAGAATAAAAA